ACGGACGGCCAGCAGGAGCGGACGTGGGGTCCAAAGCCACGCCCGCTTGTCCCACCTTCTCTCCTATCAAGTCTGCGGGTCCGGACGCGGAGTTCAAAGCAACCGCGTCCGGTGTTCCCGCCTCCTCAACATCCATCACTTCCGGAGAGGGCGTGGGTGCCAAGGCCACGCCCTTCCCCTCCTTCCTCTCCGTCCCCACCTTCTTTCCCGGGGACTTGGCAGATTTGGAGGTGGGCACGGGGGCTGAGGCCATACCCACTACAACGCCCCTCTTCGTACGCCCCCTGCTACTAGGGGCCTTACAAGCAGAGCCCCCCACCCTATGCGCGTGTGGGAGCCCCTTGTCCCTGCATACAGGGCAGCTCGCAGGGGCCTTGCAGTCTCTGGCGATATGCCCCGTTGATCCGCACCTGTAGCAGGCGCCACTCCTGCCAAAAGAGCTCGTGCAATTAACGCGCACGTGGCCCTTTCCCAGGCATTTAAAGCACTGTAAGGGTCTCTCTTCTAACAGAGAGACCCCTACAATCGCCCATCCTCCCACTTTGATACGGCCCCCTCCCGCGACAACCTTAATGGCCGCATCGAGGGGGCACCGCACACACACCACGCCCATTTCACTTCCGCCTTGAGAGGGCCGGATGGGTCCCACCCTTACCCTAGGGAGAGGGCATCCTCCTACCTCCGCCACGGCCTCCGCGACCTTATTCGAATCAATCGATACATGTAGGTCGCGGATCCGCAATTCCCCCATTTTTATGGGTCTCTCCACCCTTACGTCTTTCTTCCCCTGGAAGGCCTTTTTGAGGGCCTCGGCCAGGGCATCGGCTTTCTTGCCACTGTCCGGGCCTGGGACTTCCAGGAGGGTGGCGCCCGTCCTGGCCGTCCCGAACTTTATCTCCCCGATCCCCAAGCCTCCGAGATCGATCTTCCCCCTCGCCTCTCTCATAACCCGGGCGTACTCCCCCCGCGAGCGTGTGACCGTAATGGCCGCGTTCTTGGGGGATCTCCGGGTTTTCGGGGCATTAGAGGGGGCGGGTTTGGTCGGGCCCTTCTCCTTTCCCTGCGGTCCTTTTGCCGCCTGAGTCGCCTTGGCCGTTTGCGCTGCCTTGGCTCTCTCCCTTCTTTCCAGCACCCTCGCATAGTTGGCGGTGAATGGTGAGGGAGGCTTATGCACTCCGCTGCTGCCGTTGCTGTTGTCGTGGGAGGGAAGGCCCCCCTTCTCTCATGGCCAGCTGCTTTGCGGGAGACGCCGCCGATTCTTCCCCGCTCCAACGCGGACGTGGGGCTCCCTTAGAGGGGGTGGCGGAGGGAGGGAGATTGGCCTTGGCCATTTTTCCTTTCTTGCCCCACCCTCTCCCCTCTTTAGAAGGGAGGACCCTTTTCCCCGCTGACGGAATGGAATGGAATCATCCCCATCTTTGCCAGGATTGCCGGGATCAATTCCTCCAGCAATTCCGGCAACCTTCTCATCACCTTTT